TATCTTCTGAGGATTAAAACAATAATTACTACTCAATAATTCTCAATGAATCTGCTATGATTGTTGTTGTTATTGTTAAGTGCCGTCGAGTCGTTTCTGACCCATAGTGACCCTGAACAGGGTTTCCAAGGCTGTAAATCATTACGGTAGCAGAAAGCCTCATCTTTCTCCCGCGGAACAGCTGGTAGTTTCAAACTGCTGGTCTTAAGGTTCGCTGCCCGATTCGTAACCACTACGCTACCAGAGCTCCTTAATCTGCTATGATAGCATCTAATGTAATATTTTAATTAAGAAATACATTACTGTGAAGACTAACCCCACTAAAAGAAAACATAAAAAAGATATAATTTAGCAAAGCTAAAGACAGACTAATAATAAGTTTATATCTTTATAACAAAAGATATATCACGACAAACCCTATGGTGATAATTAGGAATTAAAATGACCTATGAATTCTGTCAGGAAATCTCAGCATTATTTGCCTCAACAATAAAAAGAAATTAATTTTCAATCTTTAATATCTACAAAGGAAACAAAAAGCAAGTCTTAAATTTGCTAAGTTAATGGACATAACTTAGTGCATATTAAAATTTATGAAGACAAAGGAGGTATGCAGGACACTGAATAATTAAGGCATTCTTCCTCTAGTTCAAACCCAGACTAAACCCATGCCATTGAGTAGATTCCCACTCACAGACGCCTTATAGGACTAGTGGTAGTATGTGCGTGCCACTGAGCTGGTCCTGACTCACAGAGCAACCCTGGGTAGGGTTTCTGAGACCGTATATTTTACGGGAGCAGAAAGCTTCATCTTTCTCATACAGGGATTCTGGTGGGCTTGAACTGGTGATCTTGCAATAAGCAGCCTAATGTACACCCCATTCTTCTACAAGGGCTCCTGTAGGACAGGGTAGAAGCGCTCTCTATGGTTTCCAAGGCTATACTCTTGATTACCATCATCTTTCTGCCACAGAGGACCTGGTGTGTTTCCACTGCTGATCTTCCTTCCAGTTAGCATCAGGCAGTCAGCCACTGAGCCTTCAAGGCTGCCCCTTCCTGTGGCTTAGTGCCATGGACTCGGTTTTCACTCATAGTGACCCTTGATAGGGTTTCCAAGTCTTAGCTTCCTCACATCTTTCTTCCTACTATTGTTGTTGTTAAGTACCCTCAGATAGGTTCCAACTCATAGTGACCATATATAGGGTTTCTGTGCGTGCCTGGTATGTTTAAACCACTGGCCTTGTGGTTAGCAGTCCAGGATCCTACTTGCCATACCCGGAGACTCCCCTTTTACCTATGTTGTTGTGGTTAAGTGCCACAGAGTCAGTTCTGGCTCATAGTGACCTGTATAGGATTTCCTACAGTAAACTAAAAAATAACAAGACACTTAAAAAATGTAGTATTTTGAATGGTTTGCAATTAGGTTTAGTTATTTTTAAGTAAGGAAAGCTATAATATAATTAAAGTTAACGTTGACAAGATTTCCTTTAGAAAACATGGCTAAAATGTTTTCTAAATATTCAATATTAGATAAACTGGGACAGTATACTTTCCAGTATAAAATTTAAATGCCATTTATGAAACACTTAAAATGTCAACACAAGTTTGCCAGTTAAAGCCCACCAACTACTCCAAGGGAGAGAAAGATGAGATTTTCTGCTCCCACAAAGACTGAGAGCTTCAGAAATGGTGTAAAAAGACTTCAGGAGTTGAAACCAACAAGATGGCACTTATCTACAAAAACATATAAAAAGTTTATATTTCCATGACAGTGGCAAAAGAAAATACACTCATTTATATAACCACTTGAGTCCTGGTTAATGCGCCAGACTGAGAAGTCATTTGAACTGCAAGGTCGGCAGTTCAAGCTCACCAGCTTCTCCTCAGAAACCCTATACGGGATCGCTATGGATTGGAACTGACTTGATGGCACTTAAGAACAACAATATAACCCCAAGCTTATTACTTTCCTTACTCCAAAGTGATCGCCTGTTATTGGGTCTCACACACCCACTGCACCACCTCAGTGACATTACAGGATAAATAATTCTAGTGATTCATTTAGCCTTCTTTTTGTGAAAAATATTAGGATATTTAAAGGTAATAAAAGCACAGACCACATAATAGATTGTATCAGAGAAATATTCAGGACTCAAAGTACTGACTGCATTTACATTCCTAGTATGTAAGGTAAAACTGAAAGCCTTGTAAAATATAGTATGTTTGTTTATGATCAGTATAATGGGCAAACAATTTATTTATGATTCCCATTCATTCACTCTTCTCTAAAGTGGGCACTAGTGAATTATTTTTTAAACAAATACACTAATATAAAAGCAAGATTTTATAAGAAATAACTAAAAGAAAAGCAGTAAGCATGTATTACCTGCTGGGGCTTGGCAGAGCCATTCATTGGGCTGGTTTCCGGGGCACTTTCCTGAGACTGCTGCTTACACAGACCTTTTGTTGCTTCTCTGAACAGAATGTCTTTCTCCAACAAACTGTCTTGCTTGGCAATTGGTAACACCAGGGGACTGCTAGAGGAAATGATCAATACTATCATTAGTCTTCTTTTGATATTTCCAAATCAATAACAATTATTACAGCAGGACAGCTGGACTATAAAAGGTTATTTTTATTCAGAAAAGGAACTTTTTTCTCTAAACTTCAGGGGGAGAATCAGAGTATAATCTGTAAACTTTTCTGTTAACTCCAAATTTCATGCAACTTTCAAACTAAAAGAAAAATTCTTCATGTCAATTGTAAAAGAAAATACTCATGAATGGGTATCTACTTTGCAATATACAAATCAATAAGCAATTTAAATATTACAGTTGAAATGCATGACAAAACTAAGCAAGATATATAATTGTAAAAATGAATTGCAGATAAATAAAACACAAAATTAAATAATTACCTAAAATATTATTCATATGAGATTTATAATACCATACAAAATTTGTAATAAAATAAACTATATGGGCACTTGAGAGGAAGAACATGGTTAAAAATTGCAATATTACAAACAGAAAAACATTTTATTACTTATAAATAGGCTAAATTATTAACATATAAAATTACTTCACTTTTGTGCTTCTGTAGACAAAAAAGAGTCCTGATGTGGTGCTGTAGGATAAGTACTGAACCAATAATGACAAGGTCAGTGGTTCAAACCCACCAGCCTCTCCTCAGAAACCCTATACAGGGTCACTGAGTCAGAATTGACTGGAGGCCATTAACAACATAGCCAAAAAACATTACCAACAGCCAATATTCTACAAAATTCATAGAAATAAAACATGATATAAATACTGAATTTGCCACAAAGTACTTTATTATAATATTATTTAAAAATGTGTTTGCCTAAATGTTATCATACAAATAAGAACAAGAATAATTCATGAATGTTTAATCAAATGCAATATATATGTATAAATATAAACATAATTATTTAACGTAGGCTAAAATAGTAGTAATTGTAATTAAAATCCAAAGCACTTTTTGGTCCTTTAATATAAATATAAATATAATTATTTAACGTAGGCTAAAATAGTAGTAATTGTAATTAAAATCCAAAGCACTTTTTGGTCCTTTAGAAATTCAAGATGTTTGCAATATTATTCACTTTCAGTAAAATTTACTCTTTGTAGGTAGGCATACAGTGCAGTGAGATTAAGAAATATATATACAGTTGTGCTACATATATAGCATAACAGGTGTTACGCAATAAAAGATAAAATAATTTTTTCACTTCTTATGTGCTTTTGAAGTTAATTATTCTCCTCAAAGCGTACTCCTCTAAATTACTGATAATAATTTATTTTACCCTACTGTTTGAAAGTGTCATACAAATGGTACCCAGAATATACAACTCTTTGCATCTGTGATATTTATTGATGGTTTTAATATACCAATAGTTTATCTGTTCCCAATTCCAAATAGTATTCGGATTTCAGATATGTCAGATTGTGGTGGCTTGTGTGAAATTGTGATGCTAGAAGCTATGACGCTGGTATTTCAAATATCAGCAGGGCTACTTATGTGGCGTAAGTTTCAGCACATCTTCCATACTAAGACTGGGAAGAAGGATTTGGTCATCTATTTCTGAAATAGTGACCAATGAAAATCTTAAAAATAGCAATAAAACTGCTAATATAATACTAGAAGTAGAGCCCTTCAGATTGGAAGACA